ATAGAACAATAGTTAATCGCCATCACTTCTCATTCAGTCTCCATTCGTCGGCTCCCTCTCCCTCTTCAGTACCACGGCACTCCCACTACAGCAAATAAAACACCACGAGACCACCAGCAGTTTCTACATCACCAAATATTTCTTACGTCACACTAAATACTCAACCCCGCCTCACCACCGATACTACTCGTCATCTCTTATGTACAATATCCGATGCTCCACCGATACTGTTTACTGGCTGCCCCAAGAGAGACATGAAGCAACAAAATCAGCAGTTGCCGCACAGACGGAGAGGGCCTTTTCGCTAAAAATGGTTCTCAACGCCAGTTTCGGTTTGTCACGAAAAAAGAAAAAAGGAAATGACCCTTACCTTGCCTTGCCGCAAAGAGTTCCACCGAACGGGCACCAATCGCCCATTTTGTCTCCCTGCTTACGAGAATAGGTAACCGGGTTGCATCGCGCTATGTTACTGAAGGCGAAAGACCACACGCTGGACGACATGAATCTACGCTTGCGACAACTAAGGCTAGAGTCAAGACAATCATGCACAGAACTATTCTGTGGGGTACGGGGATGATACAAACTAACACAGAACTATTCTGTAGGGTACGGGGATGAAACAGAACGCACAGAATAATCCTGTAGGGTACGGGGATGATACAGAACTCTCTGTGCCTCTCTGTAGGGTAATAACAGAGGGTAATTACCCCCGGTATAGGTCTGTGAGTACCCTACAGAACCCGCCCTTGCAATCATGCGCCGTCACTTCCTCGCCTGCGGCATGTCCCTTGTCCGTTGCCCAGGTCCGAAGTCCCCAACAGAACGCATGCAAAATATTGCACGCAATCACCACCTCACCGCCAACATTTCATCACCACCATCTGCCTCGCTGCCGCATCGAGCCTACGTCGCTCGCGTAACTGTACAACCAAGCATGCAGACAACCGAGGACACCCTCCCCGCCCCCCCACCCGCCGTAATACGTGAAGCGGTTTGAGTATGACCCCAAACGCCAGCGTGCGCACGAAGGGCGCAGTACATAAAGTCAGGCCTTGAGAACACAACAAAAGACCAAAAAGGACCGCTGTCAAGCGGGCCTTTGCCGTGGAAGATTGAGTGGGCCAGCGCGCGCACGAAGGGCGCAGTCTGGCCTTGATGAGAACACAGCAAAGGCCAAAGGAACGCTGGCAAGGGGGACATTTGCCGTGAAAATCTGGGGGGGGGGGGCAAGCGGCAGCCCCAGCGTGCTACAGCAGCGTGCTGATGTGCAGGCCGAAGTTGAGGATCGACAGCAGGATCGTCGGGACAAAGTGGTACCATGGGAAGTCAGTTACCCTGCCAGACGACCCAGCAAGGCACGAGAGGCGGAGCAGGGAAAGGCGGGCAGCGTAAGTTTGAGAGAATGCCTGACGACGGCGGCGGGGTCGTTGTAACGCCTGGCATGCGTCCGATGTGTGGGTTGTACAGCGTGCAAGGCATCGACTTCCCTCGAAATGGAGCGCCGGGACGAACTTTTATGTCCAGATACTCCAAAGAATCGAGGGACCAGAGTGATCGTTGAGAAGTGGCGACAGAATATAATGACACCCAGCCTAGTTTCTCGAAACGAGCTATGCTCATACGTGGGGAGCTTGGACAACACTAGGCTTGTGCCTCGCAACGAGCCGTGCTCATACTTTGGGATCTTGGACAACATCACGTACCTCCAGGCGGCGCCCCCAACGGTGAGAAGCGTATACATCATAGTCCAGACCAGCATCAGCTTGACGGAAGACTCGTATGCCTGCGAGGATGACCTGTGCGATGAGGATAAAAACAATATATCCACCAAGAGCCTCCGGTCAATTCATTTTCGGGTTGAAGAATATTTTGATGCTGCGATCTTCACATCAAGTTCTCTGCCTGGCGCCTTCCAGCCGCTGTACTGGTTCAGCGAACGCGAACTCAAGCTACCCCTCAAAGGTGCCATATGACACAATCCAAACAACCAGATCCAGAACAATCAAACAAAAAAGCGAAAAGGATTGTAAACCCGAAATAGGCAGCCCAACCAGTCAGATGTCTCCGGCGGCATGTCCTACACATCGGACAAAAAAGAAACCGTTAAGCCCATCGCCCCCACTTGACACGAGAGGCAAACAGCGAGTTTTGCAAAACAAGAATACTCAAATCTCAAGGAGTAAGACAACTCTTGGACTGAGACTACGTTTGGCCTAGAGTATCTTAGCCTCTCGTGTCGGATTGCACCGCCCACTCGTCTACTACTTTAGGCCTCACATAGGTCGGAGTCACCGCGCCGGTTTGCATCGGTCATGAATCTCTCCGTTCCCCGCGACAATCCAGGTAACACTAACAACTCCCCGAAGGTTTGCAGAACAGAAATACCCACCTTTGGCATGTTTTACGTGTCCCACCAAGCGCCAGCAACATTCTCACGCAAACCGACGTATACACAGTACTCAGACGCTCACCATCCGCACCACGCCACCCCACTTATGAAAATACGTACACAACACGCTGTGGCCCTCTCCTTGGCTGAATGCATGTCTACAACAAAGACTCTGGTCTGGCCCTGCGGAAAGCCAACAATGAGATACGAAGATGTTTAGCAAGCACATCTTCGCTGTCTCCCCGTGGCGAGGGTCGACCACGTGAAACAACACGCTAAACGACACCGCGAAAACAAAAAAACTTACGCGCCACCATGCATGCCAGCACTATGCCATGCAATACCGAAACACAGAGAACGACACGATCCATCAAAACACACCTCGAGGAGGCTCCTCCGCCGGTGGGAACCCAGGGAATGGTCGTGTTCATGATCTTGTCCTTCAAAGCATACAGGTGAGCATAACTAGTGTGTCGGGGGAGCAGGCACAACAGCGAGGAGGGGGGAAGGTGAGCAAAGCAAGTGTTCCAAGCAGTTTGGCGTACAGATGCAAAACCCCTCCTTTAAGGAGAAACGGTGGGTGAGGTGCGCGGATTTCGCCTAGAGAACAGTTGAAAATATGCATGCCTTCGCCAAAAGACGGTCATGGTTTGCGACAGCTTTTTACCGGTCACCGCCGGGTCACACTTGGGATAGTAACGACGGCCGTTTGGACAGTGACGGCTCGAGGGGATACCAATCCGACGTACAGTGAGCGCCACTGCGCAGCACAACCGGCCGTACCCCAACGGATATAATTCATCAACGGGTGCACTCTGAAGCCTCCAGCCGAATCCTGCCACTTTTCCCTGGCGATTCCGCGTACGCCACAACCTAGCTGGCTCTCTGCGGCCACTTGGCCACGTTTCGTTGTTAAATGTTCGATTCACCCCATCAAACGAAAAAACTACAACTTCACGGGATGAGTGCGAATTCATCGTTCAAATGATAAGAGCAAAAAGTCGCCATTATTCTCAGTCAATGTTTCAACATGCATGGGGTATTGACCTCTCTCTCTCCACGGGGCCTACCAGCTACCGCGCTTGACACGAATCGTACACCCGAGACGCCGTACGCGAGTATGACAGCGAGGGAAATAACCCACTCCCGTCCGGTGACGAGGCAGCGGGGGGGGGAGGTTGTACTCATAGTCGTGCATGCCCTAGTCGTTAGATAAATTGACCTCGCATCCCTACAAAGCCGGGACGGAGCACGCCGGGTTCTCACCGGACCAGGCTCTCACAT